AAACGCGTGGTTACCCCTACATTTTATGTTATGAAATGGAAGTGGCAAGTCTATTCAACACGTGATTAGTTTCTGGCTGTGAGCAAAAGGTATTTAGACTGTATTTTAGCTGAGCCAGAGAAAGGCTGTCAGATACGTTAAAAGCGCTTTTGCAACGATTTTGTTATTAAAAACATATCAAAAATGTTTTTTTTTTGTCACCATTTGCCATGTAGTTTAAAGATCTTTTAAATGTGTTTGCTTTTCTGTATGCAAAGGCGAATTCCATGGAAATCTGTGAAGAAATATCCTTTCCTTCTTTTTTTCATAAAAATGCTGATGTCAGCATTTTTGTTGAGATTAAAGGCTAATTATCTCGAAAAAATGCTTAGCTACCCACATTTTTCTTTGTGGATTCCAATAGCCCTAGCAAAGATCTACTTTTTCCGCGTGGTCCTTACCTGGCGCAAAAACCTTTGTATTTAGTAGGCACCGTCCATAAATTAACGTCAAACGTATCTTACCAGCAATGAAGAAAGTGAGAAAATCATCCAACATGTCCTCTATCCCAAGGTTTGGATCTGCTTCTGTAGAAAACAATTGTTTCATCAAAACAAACAAAAGAAAAACAAAAACAAAGCCACACTCTAAGAAAAGTTATGATTTTGGGGGGCATAAGTATTTACTTGAGATTATTATCCACTAAGCAAATTGGTCCACTTCATGTCAGACATTGTTGTCAAGAGATTCCTGTACAAAGCACAACTTTAAGACCTAGTTCAATAACATCCAAGCTACACAACAGTTAATTTTAGACAAAAAGTAGACTTGTCTTGTGTTAACGAAGCTTTTTCTGAAGAGATCAAAACACCGTTGTAGACACATCAGTAAATTTTTAAAGAATTTTTTAGAATTTTCTTGAACGTGTATTTCACAAAAGCAACTGCAACGCTGACTCTATTAGACGAAACACTTGCCAACCTACTAAAGCTGACGCAACGAACAGGAACCCAACACCTGTTACTACAGTGACTATACCTCACATTAAGGACACTTCTGAGACCATCTCACGGATCCTACAGCCCTACAACATCCGTGTACCCCACAAACCTACAACTACGTTACGACACTTACTGAAGAACGTTAAAGACCGGGACGAACCCAACAACAGACAGGGAGCAGTTTACAAGATCAAATGCTCCGACTGCCAGGCTTCCTACATTGGTGAGACTGGCAGAAACCTCAACTCGAGACTGACTGAACGCAAACGAGCCACGAGAAATGGTGATGCCAACGATCAAATTGCTGTACATCATCAACTGACAAACCACAACATTGACTGGGACTCCGCTCAGTGCTTAACCTATAGTACAAACTACTTTCAACGAATGACTCTGGAGAGCTGGTACACTAACCTAGAACAAACGCCTCTTAACAGATGTCGACAACTACCGGCGCCTTACAAGCGACTTATCCACGATCGAAACGAAACCGACAACGGACCAGAATTATAACATCATCGACTGACAAACACTATTCACTCTGAAGATGACTTCCGCTCAGGTTGTCAAAACGTCAGTCACCAACAACAGTTCTTTTCAGAACTACCCTCACCCGCCGGACGATCACACTATACGAAATAATATAGTTATACTCCTGGGTTCAAACCATTTACTAAGGTACAGATATATGTCTAGATTTATCGTAGTAAGAGAAACCGGGCATCAAAACAAAGGGCAACGACAACACTGTGCAACCCTGTTTTTGTACTAAGCATACGTTTTTCTATTTTGGTGAGATTGTGTTTTGGTTTTTGTCAAGAGATAATTACACGATTTGTAGGTTTTCGTATCATTATAGATTTTCGATTTTTCATATAAACTTTGAGGATTTTCTCGCATTTCAATAGTATCATAAATCAGAGCTGATCGGTCACTTTTTGATACATGTGACGTTATTTTGGCGCGATATGACATCATAATTAGGTAGTGGCACGTGACTGGGTCTGAAAGAAATATTCGTGTATATGAATGGTTTACACACCATGCAAGCTCGACTTCTTTGGGGTCAATACTCTCAGTCTAACAAAAAAATGTTTTTCAGATCAACAACTGGGTGGGCTCTTCACGTCTAGACCGTGTTGTCAGTGGTCGGTATGAAAGCAAGTCAGATACAGTAAATTGTTTTTACTTCATGACGCACTGCTACGTAAGCCTGCCGTTTCAATAATTGTCATATCTCAGAGCGCTGGTCGAGTTTTTAGTTTTAATTTAAAGAAAGGTTTTTAATTTTAATACACTCCCGTTGAAAATGATACAGAGTTTTCCATTTCACCTTTAAGAAAAGTCCATTTTAGTGCGTTTCTGTTATTTGATGAAAATTCTACGACGCTTTTTGGCATAAGCGATAATTTCCCTTGTTGAAGAGTGCCTTAATTATCAATATCAAGTTACCGTAAGTAACCTCCACTTGACTATTGATTAGAAATATAAATATACTATTGAACATGGATCTCACGTTTTCGGGGGAGTAGGGTGAGTTGGCTACCTTCGGGAGACGCTACTTCGGAATTTGACGACCGGAGCTTACAAACCTTGCTGCTCAATAATATGTTGTAATATATCATCAGGGACCTCTTCTCCCTCGTTCATTGCATTCTTTCTCTCTTCAATTACTTTCCTTCCTGTTTCACGCAAGAACTGGACTGCCTTGATAACACGCCGCTGAAAAGGGTACTGAAAAACATTCCACTGAAACAAGAGGAAACGAAATCAAAGGGCTCTTGGAGCCAGCTCATTCAAGTCAACGCCAATTTGCATTAGGTTCTTTGGTTTAAAGAAATATTGGTAAAGTTGAACCCCGTTAATTGGAACCCTCAAGAGAAACAATAGTTTGAAATAAGCGGTGGTTAAGTTTGAATAGATATCATTATTATTAAGTACTTGTGTGATAAGAAAATATCTATATGCCTTTTAGGGATTGGAAACTCCAGAGGGTGCGCAAGCAGTAGACGGAGAAGAGCGGAGATCACTTTTGAATAATTAATTGCCGTTGAGAGAAACTTTGGGGAGACTGAGTACCAGGTTTTCGCAAAAGGATTTCTGGAACGGTTAGGGTGACCAATGTGAGCTATGATTGGTCAATGTTCCCTTTGGAAACCACTGACCAATAGTAGCTCAAGTCTGGTACCCCAACCATCCGAGAAATGCTAGTGCTAAAAGCTGACACTCAGTTTCCCCAAAAATTCTGTCAAGGACAATTTGTACCACATGATCAATTTTGGCCGATGGCGACAAAGGACAATTTAGTGGTGAACTTATGTAATAAGCAATTTGATTCTGAGCTAACGATTTCTATGATGTGACTGTTGATGAGACCGAATTTGCTTTCAAGAGTGCAATTCGGAAATTTTAGTGATGGTGTATGACAGCTCAGCCAATCAGATTGCTGCATTTACATTCGTGTACAAGTAAAATTCTTCTAAGAACCATTAGTAACAGCTTGAATGCTATGCTTGTTATTACCTTGTGAAATGGTTGTTCAAAGATTGCCACGTGTATTCCAACAAGAGTCAGTGAAATGGCCTCAGTAAATTCAGTGTTCTTCCCACTGATAATGTCCATGTCCATTCCAAAGCCAACCTATAAACTCACGAGAAGCACAATACAGTGGAACCCCGTTAATACCGTCACCAACGGGAAATGAAAATTTAATCGTATTACGGGGTGGTCAGATTTCATGACTTGTCTATTTCAAGTGACGTCTTGTCAGACGTCAAAATTGCACTTCTAAAAAACTGTTCTCATTTTCTCTTCGAAATGCAGGTATAATTTTTAAAAAAATGAATCTTCAATCAGTACATTAAATATTAACAATGGAAAGATGAACATAACTGCTTCTAGCTAGTGGCCGTATTAACGGGTTAAAATTATAAAGGATAATACAGGTTGGGATTTCAGAATGTGGCCATTGCCCATATTAACGGGATAGCCGGATTATCGGGGTTTTCTTATAAGAACATTTATGGGTGTTTCTCTGGGACAAAAAAAAGACTGACATTGATGAGGAGACCGTAAGGCGATGCTCCACTGTATTTAAAAACATTCTACTTCGTGTTTGGATTATTGGCAGCATCTGCTAAATTAATTTTCTTTGATTTTTACCTATTCACACCTTACCTTACAAATGACATCTAATGCTGCTTGGTATAACTGATCATACATACAAACTTTTGTTTTTCCGTCAGCCATTGTGCCAAGATGTTCAAGTAAAATATTGGCAGTGGAATTGAAAGAACTCATATATTCTTTAAGGCACCTGATTTCAAACAATTAGGCAATGTATGATTGCATGACCTCTAAAACTCTAGAATTTAATTAAAAAATAATAATTGAAAATAGCAGCCTTAAATTTCTAGCTTACATATAACTGGTTACCATATTCATATTTGTAACACCCTGGAGAAATGGCAAGGTTATTCAGAGGTTCAAAATACCATTACCAAAGGAAACAATACATGGCAAAACACATCCTGTTTTAAAAACCAGGTCCCTTTTGTTTAGGGAATGAATAAAGTGGTAAAGCTTAAATATGAGAAATGGTGTTCTCCGTTTTCAAATGTTTGTATCATTTCAAGATATATGTAAGTTTTAAAAATTTGTAAAATATGCAAATTAGGTAGCTGATGAAAAAATAAATGATGATATTATGATGTCATAACTTCGTTAAAAACTTGACTGTTTCTGGATGAAAATGATATATTTAAAAATAGCAAACAGCATTTTCTTGTCGTACAGACTACCTGTTGATTTTTTAAAACGGCTTAGATAGGACAGATGAAAGTTTCATCATAGCAGCTCTATGGCCACATCTCGATATCTGCTTACTTTGGTGGAACAGTTAGTAATTTACCATTTAAAACTTTTCGATAAAGATTAAATTCTGTGAGTCAGAGTTCGCAGCTTAAAACATGGGTCAGATTAACAGCTGAGGCATCTAAGAATGCTGAATTTTCAATGCTGATGGTTTATTGTTTAAAAGTTAACTTCAAGAGGAGATAATGTGATAAATTTGTTAGGTTAGCCTTGCCAGTTGCAATGGAATGCTTACTTGCGATGGAAAGCTGGTCCGAAAGCGTCACGTCTTTTCTGCCAGGACTTAACGTCCGCGGTGAGTGAAATTCCATCACCAAGAAATCTACAGCAAAATATCATAAACATTATAATGATCAATCGCATAAGTTGCTTAGAGGGTGTGTGTGTGTGTATCTGTGTGTGGAAGGGGGGAGGTACGGGGGGCCCTAACTTCCTCTTCCTGCTCATTAACCTCCCGCCTCCTGTACGCGTCCTGCCTCCCATTATCCCGAGCTCCCGTCCCCTGCCCTGTGAAAGTGTAAGGACTATTTAAACATTGCCAGAGACAGTAAACTTGAATTCGTATCTTCAATTCTATCAATATTCATTGTACGTGATGCAATGTGAGAGATTAACAGGCAACTTTTATATTAATTTAAAAATGACTTTAGCTACTTTTACAGCAGTTTCACATTAAGTTTAAGCCAGCTTAAACTGGTGTTCATGGTGAATTGTTTCAAAAGTTTGAAGCTGAGAATTCTTCACCTGTTTTGAAAACTCGGCATTTTGTTTCTGCTATTTCAAAATTTCAAATTTTCTGAACGCATGGTAATTTTGCACTGTTTGGTGGAAAATTAAGATGTCAAAATACAGAATTGCGTGAATTTAGAGATCATCAAATTTGTTCTAATCGTTTGAAATTTCCCTCGAACCTCGACGTTTTGCGTTCGCAGGCTACGTTCTCCTCGAAAGACATCGAGATTCTTGGGAAAAAAAGCTAACTATTTCCCTCGGAAACAGTAACTAAGTGTATATTATCAATTTGGGCCCTGTTAAAACAATAAACGAATGATAAATAAATAAATAAATAAATAATTAAAATAAAATAAATGAGTAACAATAAAAAAGAATGAATTAGAAGGAAAACTGGTATAAATGACAAAATGCTAAATTATGTCAATGCTAAATTCTAAAATGTTCAGTATAGGCACGCACCGCGTGCAGGAGTTATTGTTTTTATGAATTAAAAGCGTTTGGAGGTAGGAGCAATTCAGCGAACTCTTAACAGTTATGGTTAGGTTAATCCAACAGGTTTGTTTAGTTACGATGCACAGCAAAGTAGAAATTTAGAATTTATGACGTATCTACAATATGGTAGAGAAATCAGGCAGTAAGCTTTTTTTTTTTTGAAAAAATAATAAATATTTACTGGCTGGTTTTGGCTGTAGGGCCTTCCACAAGGTTTTGGCAACTTCTCGTATTTTGAGCAACTCTTTCCCGTTTCGAAGATATGATCAATCATATCTTCAACTTTTTGCGTTCTGAGAAATTCGTAGTTTTCTATCAATTCTGAGAAATCGGAGCAGCTTTTAAGTGCTTAAATTGGCCTTGCTTTCATATTTCACAATATGTTTTAGTAGACAATTTATTAATTCCCTGTGAAAAAGGAGCCAGATCTCTCCTCCCCCCTGGGGCAGATCGCGGGTGCAAGATGCAGGCAGCCGGTCTGCTAGGTCAGCAAGGGTTTTAAAGAAAATACAAAATGGCGGACTAAGATTCACACTTGACTGACTCGAGTGTCTCAGGTGAAGAATATTAATATATTAATATTAATATTGACGCATAGTCTTTACTCGTACATGTTTTGATTTTAATTGAGGACAAAGTTATACAAACAGTACAGAAACTGGTCGGAAAAAGACTTATGGACAAAAAAGAACACAATGTTAAGCACAAACTAAGAAAAGTTTTTTTTTTTACCTTTGTCCATAGATGTAGCTAGCATCTGCATACATTAAAGGATGTTTTGGAAGATCGTTCAGAATGAGAATGTCCTTAGAAATGAAAAGAAACAACAATAAATTAGTCAGAATTGCTAAAAATAAATTTTTATAAGGCCACTGCATTAACATTTCCTACAATTAAATTAAAGGAACGAATTCACGGCTCGGCGCATGTACAAGCTATACCAATGGCCTCCGTTCAATGTAATCTACAGTTTTAGCCAACCCTGAAAATAGAGTTTCTGATTACAATAGGTGAACCTGGCTTGAGCCTGCGATCCAATCGAAACCCTGTACCTGGGCGGCAGTCAACTTAAAGAAAAAAGTGTGACCTCGATGAGCTGTAAACATGAGCCCGCGATATNGACTCTGGAGAGCTGGTACACTAACCTAGAACAAACGCCTCTTAACAGATGTCGACAACTACCGGCGCCTTACAAGCGACTTATCCACGATCGAAACGAAACCGACAACGGACCAGAATTATAACATCATCGACTGACAAACACTATTCACTCTGAAGATGACTTCCGCTCAGGTTGTCAAAACGTCAGTCACCAACAACAGTTCTTTTCAGAACTACCCTCACCCGCCGGACGATCACACTATACGAAATAATATAGTTATACTCCTGGGTTCAAACCATTTACTAAGGTACAGATATATGTCTAGATTTATCGTAGTAAGAGAAACCGGGCATCAAAACAAAGGGCAACGACAACACTGTGCAACCCTGTTTTTGTACTAAGCATACGTTTTTCTATTTTGGTGAGATTGTGTTTTGGTTTTTGTCAAGAGATAATTACACGATTTGTAGGTTTTCGTATCATTATAGATTTTCGATTTTTCATATAAACTTTGAGGATTTTCTCGCATTTCAATAGTATCATAAATCAGAGCTGATCGGTCACTTTTTGATACATGTGACGTTATTTTGGCGCGATATGACATCATAATTAGGTAGTGGCACGTGACTGGGTCTGAAAGAAATATTCGTGTATATGAATGGTTTACACACCATGCAAGCTCGACTTCTTTGGGGTCAATACTCTCAGTCTAACAAAAAAATGTTTTTCAGATCAACAACTGGGTGGGCTCTTCACGTCTAGACCGTGTTGTCAGTGGTCGGTATGAAAGCAAGTCAGATACAGTAAATTGTTTTTACTTCATGACGCACTGCTACGTAAGCCTGCCGTTTCAATAATTGTCATATCTCAGAGCGCTGGTCGAGTTTTTAGTTTTAATTTAAAGAAAGGTTTTTAATTTTAATACACTCCCGTTGAAAATGATACAGAGTTTTCCATTTCACCTTTAAGAAAAGTCCATTTTAGTGCGTTTCTGTTATTTGATGAAAATTCTACGACGCTTTTTGGCATAAGCGATAATTTCCCTTGTTGAAGAGTGCCTTAATTATCAATATCAAGTTACCGTAAGTAACCTCCACTTGACTATTGATTAGAAATATAAATATACTATTGAACATGGATCTCACGTTTTCGGGGGAGTAGGGTGAGTTGGCTACCTTCGGGAGACGCTACTTCGGAATTTGACGACCGGAGCTTACAAACCTTGCTGCTCAATAATATGTTGTAATATATCATCAGGGACCTCTTCTCCCTCGTTCATTGCATTCTTTCTCTCTTCAATTACTTTCCTTCCTGTTTCACGCAAGAACTGGACTGCCTTGATAACACGCCGCTGAAAAGGGTACTGAAAAACATTCCACTGAAACAAGAGGAAACGAAATCAAAGGGCTCTTGGAGCCAGCTCATTCAAGTCAACGCCAATTTGCATTAGGTTCTTTGGTTTAAAGAAATATTGGTAAAGTTGAACCCCGTTAATTGGAACCCTCAAGAGAAACAATAGTTTGAAATAAGCGGTGGTTAAGTTTGAATAGATATCATTATTATTAAGTACTTGTGTGATAAGAAAATATCTATATGCCTTTTAGGGATTGGAAACTCCAGAGGGTGCGCAAGCAGTAGACGGAGAAGAGCGGAGATCACTTTTGAATAATTAATTGCCGTTGAGAGAAACTTTGGGGAGACTGAGTACCAGGTTTTCGCAAAAGGATTTCTGGAACGGTTAGGGTGACCAATGTGAGCTATGATTGGTCAATGTTCCCTTTGGAAACCACTGACCAATAGTAGCTCAAGTCTGGTACCCCAACCATCCGAGAAATGCTAGTGCTAAAAGCTGACACTCAGTTTCCCCAAAAATTCTGTCAAGGACAATTTGTACCACATGATCAATTTTGGCCGATGGCGACAAAGGACAATTTAGTGGTGAACTTATGTAATAAGCAATTTGATTCTGAGCTAACGATTTCTATGATGTGACTGTTGATGAGACCGAATTTGCTTTCAAGAGTGCAATTCGGAAATTTTAGTGATGGTGTATGACAGCTCAGCCAATCAGATTGCTGCATTTACATTCGTGTACAAGTAAAATTCTTCTAAGAACCATTAGTAACAGCTTGAATGCTATGCTTGTTATTACCTTGTGAAATGGTTGTTCAAAGATTGCCACGTGTATTCCAACAAGAGTCAGTGAAATGGCCTCAGTAAATTCAGTGTTCTTCCCACTGATAATGTCCATGTCCATTCCAAAGCCAACCTATAAACTCACGAGAAGCACAATACAGTGGAACCCCGTTAATACCGTCACCAACGGGAAATGAAAATTTAATCGTATTACGGGGTGGTCAGATTTCATGACTTGTCTATTTCAAGTGACGTCTTGTCAGACGTCAAAATTGCACTTCTAAAAAACTGTTCTCATTTTCTCTTCGAAATGCAGGTATAATTTTTAAAAAAATGAATCTTCAATCAGTACATTAAATATTAACAATGGAAAGATGAACATAACTGCTTCTAGCTAGTGGCCGTATTAACGGGTTAAAATTATAAAGGATAATACAGGTTGGGATTTCAGAATGTGGCCATTGCCCATATTAACGGGATAGCCGGATTATCGGGGTTTTCTTATAAGAACATTTATGGGTGTTTCTCTGGGACAAAAAAAAGACTGACATTGATGAGGAGACCGTAAGGCGATGCTCCACTGTATTTAAAAACATTCTACTTCGTGTTTGGATTATTGGCAGCATCTGCTAAATTAATTTTCTTTGATTTTTACCTATTCACACCTTACCTTACAAATGACATCTAATGCTGCTTGGTATAACTGATCATACATACAAACTTTTGTTTTTCCGTCAGCCATTGTGCCAAGATGTTCAAGTAAAATATTGGCAGTGGAATTGAAAGAACTCATATATTCTTTAAGGCACCTGATTTCAAACAATTAGGCAATGTATGATTGCATGACCTCTAAAACTCTAGAATTTAATTAAAAAATAATAATTGAAAATAGCAGCCTTAAATTTCTAGCTTACATATAACTGGTTACCATATTCATATTTGTAACACCCTGGAGAAATGGCAAGGTTATTCAGAGGTTCAAAATACCATTACCAAAGGAAACAATACATGGCAAAACACATCCTGTTTTAAAAACCAGGTCCCTTTTGTTTAGGGAATGAATAAAGTGGTAAAGCTTAAATATGAGAAATGGTGTTCTCCGTTTTCAAATGTTTGTATCATTTCAAGATATATGTAAGTTTTAAAAATTTGTAAAATATGCAAATTAGGTAGCTGATGAAAAAATAAATGATGATATTATGATGTCATAACTTCGTTAAAAACTTGACTGTTTCTGGATGAAAATGATATATTTAAAAATAGCAAACAGCATTTTCTTGTCGTACAGACTACCTGTTGATTTTTTAAAACGGCTTAGATAGGACAGATGAAAGTTTCATCATAGCAGCTCTATGGCCACATCTCGATATCTGCTTACTTTGGTGGAACAGTTAGTAATTTACCATTTAAAACTTTTCGATAAAGATTAAATTCTGTGAGTCAGAGTTCGCAGCTTAAAACATGGGTCAGATTAACAGCTGAGGCATCTAAGAATGCTGAATTTTCAATGCTGATGGTTTATTGTTTAAAAGTTAACTTCAAGAGGAGATAATGTGATAAATTTGTTAGGTTAGCCTTGCCAGTTGCAATGGAATGCTTACTTGCGATGGAAAGCTGGTCCGAAAGCGTCACGTCTTTTCTGCCAGGACTTAACGTCCGCGGTGAGTGAAATTCCATCACCAAGAAATCTACAGCAAAATATCATAAACATTATAATGATCAATCGCATAAGTTGCTTAGAGGGTGTGTGTGTGTGTATCTGTGTGTGGAAGGGGGGAGGTACGGGGGGCCCTAACTTCCTCTTCCTGCTCATTAACCTCCCGCCTCCTGTACGCGTCCTGCCTCCCATTATCCCGAGCTCCCGTCCCCTGCCCTGTGAAAGTGTAAGGACTATTTAAACATTGCCAGAGACAGTAAACTTGAATTCGTATCTTCAATTCTATCAATATTCATTGTACGTGATGCAATGTGAGAGATTAACAGGCAACTTTTATATTAATTTAAAAATGACTTTAGCTACTTTTACAGCAGTTTCACATTAAGTTTAAGCCAGCTTAAACTGGTGTTCATGGTGAATTGTTTCAAAAGTTTGAAGCTGAGAATTCTTCACCTGTTTTGAAAACTCGGCATTTTGTTTCTGCTATTTCAAAATTTCAAATTTTCTGAACGCATGGTAATTTTGCACTGTTTGGTGGAAAATTAAGATGTCAAAATACAGAATTGCGTGAATTTAGAGATCATCAAATTTGTTCTAATCGTTTGAAATTTCCCTCGAACCTCGACGTTTTGCGTTCGCAGGCTACGTTCTCCTCGAAAGACATCGAGATTCTTGGGAAAAAAAGCTAACTATTTCCCTCGGAAACAGTAACTAAGTGTATATTATCAATTTGGGCCCTGTTAAAACAATAAACGAATGATAAATAAATAAATAAATAATTAAAATAAAATAAATGAGTAACAATAAAAAAGAATGAATTAGAAGGAAAACTGGTATAAATGACAAAATGCTAAATTATGTCAATGCTAAATTCTAAAATGTTCAGTATAGGCACGCACCGCGTGCAGGAGTTATTGTTTTTATGAATTAAAAGCGTTTGGAGGTAGGAGCAATTCAGCGAACTCTTAACAGTTATGGTTAGGTTAATCCAACAGGTTTGTTTAGTTACGATGCACAGCAAAGTAGAAATTTAGAATTTATGACGTATCTACAATATGGTAGAGAAATCAGGCAGTAAGCTTTTTTTTTTTTGAAAAAATAATAAATATTTACTGGCTGGTTTTGGCTGTAGGGCCTTCCACAAGGTTTTGGCAACTTCTCGTATTTTGAGCAACTCTTTCCCGTTTCGAAGATATGATCAATCATATCTTCAACTTTTTGCGTTCTGAGAAATTCGTAGTTTTCTATCAATTCTGAGAAATCGGAGCAGCTTTTAAGTGCTTAAATTGGCCTTGCTTTCATATTTCACAATATGTTTTAGTAGACAATTTATTAATTCCCTGTGAAAAAGGAGCCAGATCTCTCCTCCCCCCTGGGGCAGATCGCGGGTGCAAGATGCAGGCAGCCGGTCTGCTAGGTCAGCAAGGGTTTTAAAGAAAATACAAAATGGCGGACTAAGATTCACACTTGACTGACTCGAGTGTCTCAGGTGAAGAATATTAATATATTAATATTAATATTGACGCATAGTCTTTACTCGTACATGTTTTGATTTTAATTGAGGACAAAGTTATACAAACAGTACAGAAACTGGTCGGAAAAAGACTTATGGACAAAAAAGAACACAATGTTAAGCACAAACTAAGAAAAGTTTTTTTTTTTACCTTTGTCCATAGATGTAGCTAGCATCTGCATACATTAAAGGATGTTTTGGAAGATCGTTCAGAATGAGAATGTCCTTAGAAATGAAAAGAAACAACAATAAATTAGTCAGAATTGCTAAAAATAAATTTTTATAAGGCCACTGCATTAACATTTCCTACAATTAAATTAAAGGAACGAATTCACGGCTCGGCGCATGTACAAGCTATACCAATGGCCTCCGTTCAATGTAATCTACAGTTTTAGCCAACCCTGAAAATAGAGTTTCTGATTACAATAGGTGAACCTGGCTTGAGCCTGCGATCCAATCGAAACCCTGTACCTGGGCGGCAGTCAACTTAAAGAAAAAAGTGTGACCTCGATGAGCTGTAAACATGAGCCCGCGATATGGTCTTGTGATAGTGGTCAACGCATACCTTGTTTTAACAGGTGTCAATTGAACATAACATGGATGCCCAATATCAAAGATGTGCGCTGTAACCTTCCCCCCCTCCTAATCTCTAAGGGAAAAGCCTTGGGAAATAGGTTGTGGCAGGGTGACATTTCAAATTGATTTACATAAACGGGACGTACTGACGTGCGTATGTACGCACGGACAATCACTTGACCAGCAAAATTTTTAGCTCCATGGGTTACCAAATTTTTTATAAGCAATGGGGCTCCGCTCAAGCACCTACGCCGCGCAGGAGCTCCGCTATCAATATTCTAACATGGCTCCGTGGCTTCTAGGACAAACTTCTCTATTTGGTGGTGTTTCCTTTGCATCCAAGTCTATTTTGGGAATTGAGAGACAACGGACAATTTAAGTTGACAAATTAAAACCTAAGTTAAAAAAAAAAAGGAAAAAAAAAATCCCTCCAACATTTGATCATTTTTGGGTGGCAGTAAACTTATATATGTCTACTGCTTGGCACTGACACGTTGTATACAAGTTTTAACCTCTAAATTTCTCAGTACATATGGATTTGTGAGCCAGCCATGAGTAATTAGTCCACATGGTAGATAAGACTTCTTCATACCTTTATAATCTCTGGATCAGACACTATAACAAACGGCTTATGTGCTAACCAAACAAGTACCACCTTGCCATAATCCATACTCCTGTGGAAAAATACAAAAAACAAAAAATTGAATCATCTCTTAAATTTACAGTATAGTCAACAAGTACCTCCCAGGGTTCGAAGCATAGAAAAATGATATAATAAGAACTTTATTTCCTTCTTCGCTAAACTGACTTGACCCTCGACCCAGTTATAATGCTCACACATCAACTGTCTATTAGCCACCCTCCGGGTTTAAAAAAGGACAGCGGAATCCCGATTTTTCGAACCTCCAAGGGAAACGAAAATTGGTTCGAAACAGCGGAGAGTTCGAGAAATCGGGGGTAAAATTACAGTGTTCGACGGAGGAGAGGGAACTACTTTTGGCTCGAGTTATTGGGAAGTCCGAAAAAATGAGGGCTCGAGAAATCGGGATTCAACCATAATGACATCTTATCATGCCCATCATAGTTACTAATACAAAAGGCTCCACTCACATACACTCCGCCTTGCGTGGTTTGAAATGTTCCCACGCACCCTGACTAATACAACACACCTCACACTAGCTTGCAGCCTGCAACTTTGCTTTCCTAAACGTCTTCCTAAACTGCTATACATGGGCACCTTTTTTAAACAAGAGGACAGTTTTAACCAGTTTAACCCCACGTTCCAGTTTAAAGTTCTCTGAGCTTCTTGTTGATGACTGTTACGAGAAACGATGGAAATGTCTCACGTGCAACAAGCCATATCGAAAAAAACCCCCAGAAATATATATAATATTTAATCACAGGAATAAACTCAACACTGATTAAGTTTTTAAAAAACTAAATAGTCACTAAAGCCCAGTTCCAACTTACCATTGAAGAAATTTGTACTGAGTGTTCCGTCCACTCTGACGATATGAAACTATGTCATTCACATGGCCCAGAAAAAAACTAATTGATATAAAAAAAAAAACAATTTAAAATCTCTGCCAGTGTGGTTTTAACCCTTGAACGTACAAGGGGAGGGGGTGGGTGGGGTGTGCCAACCCTCATAAGGCTTTTTCAAAGTTTTGAAAAGGCGATTTACTCTAAGGGGCTGAAAATTTCAGTAGCTACAAGTTTTGCAAAATAAAGCGGCTAAAATAATTTTAGATCGACCGCCGTATTCATCTGCGTCGCATGCATTAGCGACTCTGAAGTGGATACATTAGAGAAAAGGCGTTTCCAGCGAAGATGTGTGCATGTATACAAATGTCTAAATGGATTTATAAATCACGAATTGACTTTAGTAACACAACAACATCAGCATAATTATAACACCAGACATAAAGTCAATCTTAGACTCCCCTGCGTTAGAACGAATTGGGGAAAACAAAGAACTGGCTATCACGCTGTTCATGATTTTAATTCTCTCAGCCAGATAATACGAGACTCTGCTAATGTAAATATTTTTAAGAGACAGGTTTTCGATTTTTTAACTTAAGTGTTTTATAAATTTCATATTTTCAGTTCTATTAATTAGTATTAATCTTTGAGGTCCGTTTCGAAAACCACATGTACGTGAAAAAGTTTCCTCAATAAAGATAATTATTATTTTAGCTGTTCTTTTATTTTCCGCCGAAATTTTGATATGTCAGTTGTGTCCATCATTTTTAACGACGCCATGGAAACCATCAAATTTCATGTAGGTCTGGACAGAAATTATTTCTTGACTTGTTGAGAAAATAGTGAAATCCAAGATGGCGGATCCAAGATGGTTTTCATAATCAACAAAAGTGGTGTCATCTTGTAGAACAAGCTCGGGGCTATCTACAAAGTAATATAAATTTATTTCACTGTGCTGTAACAGAACGAAAATCCAGAGGGGGTTCCAAGCGCGACCTTGTCAAATATCCCCACCGTTGGGATGTTGTGATGTGTCAAATTTCTTACTATTTCCCGCCCACGTGAGAGCAGATTAAGTCAAATGCCGGTCCCCTTCCCTGGGGCTAAACACTGACTGGTGCATTAAGAGTTTGATGTCGTTGTTATTCACGAGCGATCGAGTGAGCGAGCGAAGGACTGAGCGATAACATGTAAAACTAGTGAATAGAACGAAATCATGCTACGAGAGACGACGATCCCAGTGCACCATGAAAATCTTTTGCAATCTATTTTAAGCTTCGCATCACGCTGTGAAATTTATTTTTAGTCTCGGTCCCATGATCGTACGAGTTAACAGACAAAAAATCGGTTTGTTTTGAACTACCGCCCTGCAAACGTTTACTTCCCCGAAGTTTTCTTCGAAAACAGATCGAAGCTGTGTAATTCCCCCGCATGAATTATTAATGCACCAGTCATTTGAAACCCCGGGATCCCCCTCGGGCAAGACGGGGTAATGCGAGGAATTTCACTTCATATTCACTCCATTTTGGTCCTCCGGTAGGCAGGGATTGCGCTAGAAATCACGGTCTTCACATTACATCCCAAACGGGGGAATAAGTGGCGCAGTCACTCCATGGTCAGCGGTTTTAATTTTCGCGCGGCATGGTAATTTTGCATAAATTATTATCTCCTGATCGATCGGATCATTCTGGGATCATTGAAGCGAAATACCGAAAGTTAAAATGCTTTGCAAAGTTTCTTTTTGCTATGGATCAAAGAAGGCTATTGTAGCAGAAGATTTTCAAAGTTTGCAATGATCTCGCAGTTTGTGAGATTAAGTTTTAAAACAGAAAGATTTTCAGTAACCTTTATATCTAAAAATGACCTTGGTAAGTGTAGCGCTAGCTGCTTTGAAACAATGTATTCATTTCTCGGGTGCCAAACAACATTATCATCCTTTTCACCATCCCTTGTTACACTTGGCTATAACAGGTTATTTTTTTAGAAGGGAGTACGGCGTCCGTGGAACACTAGGGGGCGGGGGAGTTTACCATTTAGTTTTCTCCCGGGGACCGGGGACTTTACTTGCTTTCACTGGCATAAAAGGTGAATGCCCCGCTCATGCCCAAAGGGGGGAAGGGTCCGTGGGTTTCAAATAACTGGCGCATAACAGACCATGAGCACGAAGTGCCGAGACTTGTCTAAACCACTCGAAAGTCGTTTCTTGAAAAAAAGTACTGAACTGACTGAAAAGTTTTTTCAAAGCGCAGGAAAGTTAAACTATTTGTTTCCCGTTTCCTAAAAATTTCGCTCCTAAATTCCGATGAAATTTTTTTCATTTTAAATTTCGAAAGTAAATATGTGTTATATTGATCAGAGTTAGTTTGTCCACAGACTGTCTATTTTGTCTTGAGTCCGTCGATCTTCTCGCCCTCAGGATTTCGCGCGGCAATTTTTTCCCGCGGTTTTCTTTCGCGTCATGCACGACAGACTAATGCTGTGTTTAGACTTGAACGGTTTACCGAGGTATCAGAGTTTACTTACCTAGGTAAACATTTTCCGTGTGTAAACGCCAACTAATACTTTGGTAAATGCCGCAAAAGACAAAAGAAATTTAACCGAGGTAAAAGTTGTAATTACCCTGTGATCAGGCATGGTTACAGTTGGTAACCAAGGTCAAGATGACAGATATATCCGCTTGTGGCGGCGTAATATTTCATTTCCCGCGGTGAGCAGATTGTGCGACAAAACGTTTCTTTTCCAGTTTTGACAATCTTGGGAAATAACATGGAAAAATTGGATCGATCTTCTTACGGCGAACAATCCGTCGCGTAAAAGAAAGCATTGTATTTTTCATTCTCAGTATTATTTACAACTTT